GCCGTATAGTAAATACGGACGATGATCTGTATGTAGGAGGTTGATTGTTTGATTTCGAACAGTGGAGTGGATGTTACAATACAAAAGATAATGCTCAAAGTCTTCAAAGATATGACCACATGAACACGCAGGAAGAAGAGATATGTGCATTAAGAATCTATGACCGTTAAGTTTGCTTTTACTGTGGCGTAATCTGGTGTGGATAATTTGATTTTGTCGGTTGCCTGTATAGTAATAATTTGGGACGTCAGATTTTTTAATGATTTTCGATAGGTTTGTCTTGAATTTAGAAACTGACTGTGAATTCTGTGTACTTCCAGGGAGTGTGTTCCATGAATTTACTGCAGATGGTAGAAAAGACAATTTATAGTTCTTAGTGAGCCATGGGATACTACGTAGCATATTGTTATGCCTAAGACTGTAGGGGTTTAATGCCGATACTTTTTGGGGAACGAGAATTTTCAGATATTGAGGTGTTAATCCTTTGAACATTTTATAAAATAATATCAGTTTATGTGATAAGCGACGATTGTGAAGCCAGATTCTTTATAAGAATTTCATGGGATGTACCTCTAACAAGTCCTGTGATAGTTCTAATTGCGTCTAAGTTAAGTTTTTTCTAATTTATTCGCGTTGTGTAAACTGCAATTATTCCAAAGTACGTCACAATAATCATAGATAGGTAGGATGAATTGTTTGTAGAGGGTTTCAAGTGATTTTCTCGAAAGTCTGTACTTAAGGCTTCTGAGACAATCTATTAGTTTGAAGTTTGGATATTAGATAATCGATGTGAGTGGTCCAGGAGCAGGTTTTATTAAAATATATCCCTAAGTGTTTATGTTCGTCAGAGTCATATAAAGTGGTATTATTAAAACGCAGATTGAAGGAAGGTGGTTTTACTTTCCTTGAGAAGGTTATGCATTTAGTTTTCAAAGGGTTGAACGTTACCTTCCACCTTTCAGACCATTGAAATATGGCTTCCAAATCATTATTAAGAATATCACAACTCCTCCCCTCGTCTCCAATAGTGAGATAGTGCGAATAGTCGAATGGTTGATCTAATATCACATGTGATGTCATCAATATATATCAAAAATAATATTGGCCCGAGGACTGAGCTCTGGGGGACCCCAGCTTTAAGCACTTCTCGTTGGGATGTCTCGCCTTTGATTACTACGCTTTGTGTTCTGTCTCGAAGATAGCTTTCTAAGAGTTTCAGGAGATTTCCTCGTATGCCTATTGAACTGAGCTTATGAATAAGACAATTCAGCCAAACTCTGTTAAATGCTTTACTTATATCAAAGAAGACCATCTTGACTTCGGATCCACAGTCTAGTGATTTTGAAACATCATCATAGATGTCAATAAGTTGATACGTCGTAGAATCGTTTTGAGTAAACCCGGGTTGATATTGCGATAGTATGTCGTGATCTATATGGATATGTTTATGAATAACCCGCTCAAAAACTTTACCAAGCGAACTTAAGTAGTATATGTGTTTTCTGATATAGCGCATCCAGTTTGATCCGGTTTTGAGATGGCAGGTATATGTCTTTTCGGATATGACGCATTTCACTTTTGCGCATGCGCAGCTTTTTCAATGCGTCATATCCGAAAACAGACACAACTGTTAAAATATATTATAACAGACCTCCCCAAACTGTTAAAAATGTATTATAACAGACTTCCCAAACTGTTAAAAAAATATATCATAACAGATTCCTCCAAACTGTATTATAAATTACCCAAACCACAGACAAGAATCACTAAAAATAATACAGTATAAAATAACCGCATTAAAAAAAAAATAAAAATGTCTTTAATTTTAAAACACGAACTAAAAAAATCCGAAGGAGACGGTTTCTTCTCTGCGCTAACATCTCTCATCCCCAAAGTGGCCAATTTTGTCTCAAACAACAAATTTCCTCAGGAGTAGATGCAGTGAAAAGATCTAATGATTAATTTCTATCGCTTGAATAGTTTTCTCCTTGTATTAAATCTTTCGTATTAAAAATATATGGTGTTTATTGAACAAATATGACTTTAATGAATGTCCATCCTCCTAAAACGTATTTCGGTGCGGGAGACATTCAAAAGTCATTGGGTTCTCTTCCTGGATTCCCATGGGCAAAATATCCCGGAGAAAAACATCTCCCAGGGCACAATTATACAGGTCCAGGCACTAGGTTAGATCTGCGTTTAGACGAAAATGATAATCCCAAACCAGGAGAAGAACCCGTTAATAGAGTTGACGCAGCAGCGCTCAAACACGACATACTGTACAGAAACAAAGACATAACATTCAGACACCAAGCAGACAAACAAATGATAGACGAACTCGAAAATATTCCCAATCCCACTTTCAAAGAGAAATTACAGAGGGCTCTTATCATAAAACTCTTGAAGGCAAAAGTGAAATTGGGTATGGGCATAGCAGACGAGATTCACAAAGAATTTCGAAAAAACAAATGTTACCTCAAAGTCAAAGTTTTTGATAAAGATGAAATTTGGTCAGCCGATTTAATCAACATGCCAGTCGAGAGAGGGTACAAGTATTGTTTGACGGTGATCGACATATACACGAGATACGCTTGGGTCTTTCCCTTGAAAAACAAATCGGGTCTGACTGTCAAACAAGCATTCGAAACCATAATGAAACAATCTGACAGACGACCCCTAAAGTTGTGGGTTGATAAAGGAAGCGAATTCTACAACAGAAATGTGAAATCTCTGGGGTTTGAAATTTACAGCACGCATAAGGAAGGTAAAGCCGTAGTGATAGAAAGATTCAACAGGACTATTAAAAGCAAATTATTCAAGAAATTCACGGAATTGAAATCTTAAAAATGGCTTAAAATATTACCAGTTGTTGTCGACGAATACAATAACAAAATACACTCGTCTATAGGTGTGACGCCAACGCAAGCCTCTAATAACCCGAATATCATAAAGTCCGTCAACACTCGAAACAACTTTGAAAACGAGATTAGCAATTTGAATATTAAACCCAAATTCAAAGTTGGAGATCGAGTTCGTATTTTTAGATATAAATCATTGTTTCAGAAAGGTTACGTCGGGTATTGGACTAACGAGATATTCATCGTTGATAAAGTAAACACCACATCACCTCCCACTTATGAATTGATCGATCAAGACAAAGAACAAATCATAGGAAGGTTTTATCAAAATGAACTTCAAAAAACTGACTTTTAAAAATGAATCTCGAAAATGAAGATTTAGATGAAAGGTTAAGAAATTTAGATGTCGACAATCTTTTACGCTCTCTTAAATTAAGATTTTTTAAATTTAAATGTAAATTTATCTTCAAAATATTATTGAATGTGTTTTATCAGAATGTTATACAAGTTTTTTCAAACACAAACTACGTATATATTTCGTCAATTGGGTCTTCAGCAATACTTACCGCCTACTGCGAAAAACACCTAAAAAAAATCAACTTAAAAAATGAATGCATTTCTCGATAAATACGGAAAAGACACGACCACAAACTTTCAACTTGTGAAATGGGCCAAGGAACTGAACGTCTCGCCGTTTTATTATTGCATGCGAGATGAAATTGATGAACTGAAATACAAGACAGGTAAATTTTACGCCATCACAAACATTCATACTTCGGATCAAAAAGGAGTTCATCACTCTGCTCTACACAAAGATTCTTCGAATAACTTTTATTTCTTTGATTCTTTCGGTCTAGAACCGACAGAAGAGATTACGAAATTGACTAACAAACCAATCAAATGTTCTACGTTTCAAATTCAAATGCCAGGACAAAAGCTGTGCTGACAGCTGTCGCTTTGGGTTTTATATCGGTTGAGTTTGGGAGAAAAGTTTGAAGAAATTATAATAAATTTAACTCAATAAAAATGGCAAACAAGTTTGGATTAGGGTCTTTACCTCTAGAATCTAAAAATCCCATGACGACGTTTATAAACAAAGCGAAACCTTTTTCCGTGGATCAAATCGGAGACACCTTACAAGGGGATATCGATATGAACAATTTCAAAATAACTAATTTAAAGTTTCCATGAAACGATAACGATGCCGTGAACAAGAAATATTTACTGGATCAAATAAACGCAATTCAAATAGATAAGGACCATGTTGAAAATAGAATAAATGACGTGAAAAGATACCTCAGACGAAATTTTAAAATCTTGTGAACGAACCCAAACTACAACAAGAGTTAACGAGTTTGAAACGTCTTATTCAAGTGAATAAAACAAGTCAGTTGCAAAATTTAATATCTAAATTAGACGATAAGATTACGAAGGTAAAGATAGACGTCCAACGTTTAATAGATAACCCAAATGTAAACGAGGATAGATTGAAACGAAAACTAACCGCTTTGGAAAGAAAACTTGGCGAATTGCTAGCAGAACTAGACAAGACCGCGGACAAAACCGAGTTACAAAATTAGATATCCAATTTGAACGAAAAGATCGCGAAGCAAAAATCAGATGTTCAAGATATAATTAACACACTTCCCATTGACAAAGATACGTTGCAACAACAACAATTGACTGCTTTGGATACTAAAATCACGGACGAATTAGAAAAAGAAGTGGGTGTGATTAAAAACTTTCTTCAAAATAAATTTCGAGATGATATGAAAAATTATATTAAAGAACAGGTCAATCTTTTGGTATCTAGAATTCATGACGATTTTTTGAGACAAGAGAGAAAGTTGAGCAAATTAGAATCTATTGTCACGGACAAATCGTATTATTTCAATCTTCCATTCGAAAGTGACACTGTCTTCGATGAAGAAGACCAAATTTATAAATCAAACAAATACGGATTCAAAGCAGAAATAAAAGTAGGTACTCTCGCATACGGAGAACCTAAAAACGTATTCGATATTGGCGAAACGCAAGAGTTTTCTTTTCGAGGTAATTGTCTGATTCAAATAGAGTTTCCCATGAAGGTTAAAGTCAATAAAGTAGTCTTCAAACAAACCGGTAAGGCCGTCAAACATATTTCATTATTTAATGATGGTAATTTGGAAGAGAATATACGTTTGATTGATAAAAGGGATCAGGAAATTGAAATGAGAAATGGTTAATATGTAGACACCTTTAAATTGGAAGTAGAAAATGATTATATGAATAGATTTCAAATCAAAGATTTAGATATGATATTGGAGACGGAAAATCCACCATCAACCAACATTGTCAAAATTCCACGACGCTTACACGTACACGGAAAAATAGAATCGATCAGTCACGAGTTTTTACGAACAACAGACTTTGAATACGTAAAACTGTATTTCGCTTTAGGTGAAAAATACACCTCGATCGATGTTCATAAAAGTCAACAAGAAAGAGAGTTTAAACGACCTCTTGCGGTCTCATCACTTTAGGTTTCACGAGCAAAAAGAAAGCTCATTATAAAAAGAAAACGGATATCTTGAATATGTATCTTAATCAATTGTACATCTTTTTCGAAAGATCGAGAGAAGACAAGAACATAACAGTTGAAGAATTACAAGAATTCAATGAAATTTTGGACAAATTCCATACAGAAATATCAGCGGTCAAAATAAAGAAATAATCAAAAATATATACTTAAAAAATATGAAAAAAATCGAACACGATGAAACAATGATAGAAAACGCCCTATTTTCCGATGTTATCAAGGCTATCTCTGATAAATTTAAAACATTCAAAGGACAAATTAAAATAGATGGAGAGATAGTCGAGGAAGGCAATCACAGACAATACATGTCACTCCTCGGTTTCAATGCCAAAACCTTTCACAATATCTTTTCAAATATGGACAAAAAAACCGATGCTTCCGATTGGTATTTTACAGGAAAAATAATTTTAATGAAAGACAATTTCCAAGAAATCAAAAGATCGAGAGTTGGTAGAGGAGGAACTGATCTACTTAAAAAGATAAATGAATACGAAGGCGAAAATTGTTACATACCTACAGATGGTCACTGTTTTATCAAATGCGTCAATCGTGTTTTGAACAAAGATTTAACATGTAAATTTCAAGAATACATCAACGGGTTTTCAAAAACAAATAGAAAAGGAGTGATGACTTGTGCTAGAATGAAGGAATTCAACAAGAAATTTAACACTTCGTTTCAAATTTATAATCCCAAAAACAGACATTTTCATCACAGAGACGTTCACGATGAATTAGATTGGGTTTTTTTCTGTCTGATTAGAAGAAGCCAAAAAAGTTTGGGAATTCAAGAAATAGAAGACAATTACGAACAGGTGTGGAAAACGTGTAGAGACGATAACGCAGTAACACAGGTTTCACCCCTCAAACTAAACGTGCTTTCGAGTATGAGCGATGATGCGTTATTCGCTTGGGATTGCGAAACGTATTCAGAAAAAGACACGCGAAGAGCAATTCCATATTGTTGCACTTTAATTAATTTAGAAAAACTAAGGAAAATGTTAAACAGAATAAATAATCTATTTCCAGATTTAAAGCCGTCAGATCCCCTTCCAGAAGAATTTTATGATAAACTAATGAATGTAGTAGAACTATTTGTAGGTACAGATTGTATAGATCAAATGTTGAAATATTTAGGTCAATATGATAGAAAGAGATTAATATTAATTTCTCATAACGGTAGTGGATTCGACAACTGGGTCGTGCTTAAAAATGCAAAAAAACTAACGCATTGCCTTTTAAAAACACCCAGAGGAATTCTATCTTTTCCTTTATCTAATCCATACACGGATGAAGATTTACAGAAAAAATAGAAAAGACAGAAAGAAGTAAAGGGTAATTATTTACAACATATTAATTTCACGTGTTCCTATCAACACGAATCCTCTAGTTTGGCTGCATGGGGAAATTCTTCCAATCTCCCCGCGAATTTGAGAAAGATTGCCGACGTAGATATCGCTAAATACTCGCAAGACAACTGGGAGGAATTGAGACACGAATGGGAACCTTACGCCAAGAGAGACACACTCTGTTTGGGAGCTTGTTTGATAAAATACAACCAAGTCACGAAAGAAGTTGTAAACCAGAATATGTCCAATAATCTAACGGCTCCATCTTTATCCTTAAAGGGTTGGTATTATTTATATCATTACGATTAAGAAATGGTTGAAGAAGAATGGTATGAAACTACTAGAATGGTTGCGAAACATACCGAAAAAGAAAATATAGAAAAAGTTTATTCGCACACTAATCCTTTTATAAGAAATTTTATCAGACGATCTATTAAAGGAGGAAGATTTTCGGCAAATAGAAAATCATTTGAAACGAACAAAATGGATGAAATTTGTAACGTATTAAAGGAATATATTTCACAAACAGAAAGTAATAACATAATTGATTTATGCAAAGAATACAGTGCAAGCACAAAAGACAAAGCGGAGGTTCATTCGAGACTTAAAAAAATAGAATGTACTAAACTAATGGCATTTGATGCTAACGGTTTATACGCTTCCGAAATGTCGGATTTAGACAGTGAATATCCGAGAGCGGAAAGTGGAAGACCGTTTCTACTAGAAGAAGAAAAAGAATTTGTAAAACTCTTCAATAAACAAAAATTCAGACCCAGAACAGCTATTTTAACAGTGTGGTTTGACTATCCCAAAAACATGTTCTTCCAACCGATACCAGCTAAAGATAAAATCACTTTCACGAATAAAGAAGGTAAAAAGGAAACTGGTAACAAAATCAGGTTCAGAAATGGTTTCTGTCACGACGTTTTAACATCGGTCGATATTCAAGAAATAGTGAAAGCCGGTGGACGAATTATTAGAATATTAGATGGTATAGTTTACAAAGAAAACTCCACCCTATAGAGATTATATCTTAATTTTGAGAGATTTAAGAAATAAATATAAACGAGAAGGTAATATCGTGGGTAGTAATTGCATGAAATTATTAGGTAATTCCTTGTATGGTAAATCAATTCAGAAAGATATATTCACAACTAGACATTTATGGAATGAAGCAACTTTACAGGCCAACTTTGATTCACGCGTTAAAACCTATGAGAAAATTAATGATACTCAATATATTTTTGAAACAGAAATTGAAGAAAAAGTGATTACTACGGAAGATAGTAAATCTACACGACTAACACCTAGTCATTTGGGATCATTCGTTTTATCTCACAGTAAAAAAATAATGAACAATTTCATTCACGTCATAAATGGATTTTATAAACCCGAAATATACTATACCGACACCGATAGTTTGTACATTTCATCCAAAAATTGGAAAAAACTAAACAGAGCTGGTTTGGTCTCCGAAAAAGACTATTGCAAAGGTAAAAACGATTACGGTGACGGTGGAATTATATTTGGTTTATATTTAGCACCAAAAGTCAAATACAACATCGTTTTGACTTCTGATGGTGTTTTAAAAGAAAAGAAAACGTTTAAAGGTTATTCTAATGATAAGATAAGTGTAGAAGATTACGTTCAGTTAGCAAGCGGACATGATGTGTCGAACGAATTTAATAAACCATGGGAAAAAAGTTTCACCAATGGAGTAGTTATTCCAAATGATAAACAAACTAAAGTTTTTAGAAGTTATTTGAATAATGTTAAAAGAAAACCACCAAACAGTGAAGGAATTATGTATCCTTACAACGACAAAGATGAGTATAGTTTTGATGAAAACTATGAATTTGATGATTTCGATTATCTTTCTAATCAAGAAGAGAATGAAGATTGTTTTAAATGAAGTTGAATGACAATTTCTTCGTTGCCAAAGTCAATGAACCTGTTTTTACCGTCTTTGATTTCCAGATTTATATCTTTGATCATGAAAGAATTGACTGGTAAATAGGTCGTTTGAAACGGTTTCTCTATAATTCTGTATCGGATCGGCACCGTAAAAGTCGGTAAGCTGTATATGATTTGGCGTTTGTGTTTGTTGAAAAATCCACCGTTGATCAAATTACAGTGAATGTTGATCACGTCAATGTCGTTCTCGTGTGGCCGTGCGGCGCCAATGTCGATTGCGCGTATATTCGTTTATCGAACCCTAGTAACGCATTCAACGAATTTTCTACATTGAAATCGACTTGACTGTTATTTCTCAAGATCAGTTTTATTTTGTTCAGATTCAAATTACCTTCGAATTCGATATTATTTTTGCCGTTCACGCTTCCTGCGTATTCGGATAGGTAATCGTTGATGGCTACGTATTCGTAGCTTCCCGCTAGTAAGCTTATGGTTTTGAACGTAACTCCGTTATCCGTCGATATTTTTAGTTGGTTTCTAATGGAATTGTAGACGGAGAAATACTTTAATCCCAGTTCGTACTGTTTATTGCGATCGAGTTCATACTCGTAGTCTAGAGACAATTTGATGTCTGATTTATTCGAGGTGATAACGAAAAATTGTTCTTTATTGGACATTTTTAATGACGTTTATATAGTCTTTTTTAGTGATGATTTTTTTCTCCAAAAGCCGTTTTAATATGCCATTGACTTCGTTGTATTGTCTGTCCGATCGATGACCTTCTTTCATGGCCGCTAATATTATTTCTAATCTATTAAGCAATTCTTTATTGTTGTCGGATAAAAACGTTATACCTTGTCCAGATGCCACCATATCATCGAATTCGTCTATTTCTTGTATGATTGGATAATCTTCCGCATAATCATCTACCTCCTCTTGCTCAATAACTTTTGTTATATATAAATCAACTTCTTTCAATCTTCTTGTTTCGGGTCCTGACTTTCTGATCGCATGTAAAAATTTTGAGTATGCTACTAAATCCTTGTAATCGGCAATTTCAACATCCTCGCCATTCATTAAATCTATTAACCCTTTCGTTAATGTAAATATAAAGTTTTTTGTGTCGATTTTGAATTGTGGTGAATTTCCACTAAATCTTATTCTAAAACCATTAAACAATAACCCCACTTCATCAATGATTGGTGAAATGCTCTTTGGTAAATCTGGGTCAGGGTTTGAAAAAAGACGTTTTATATCATCTAATGTCCTAATTATAATACCATTATATTCAATCGGTTTGGGTTCTATATGAGGGGTGGGTTCTATAACGAGTCTCTTTTTAATGTCTTCTTGACTTTTTAATATGGGTTGAAATAGAGTCTGTAGATTTTCCGTTAATCCGAGTTGTTGTAATCTGTTATTTTCAACTTGGGTCTTTATTTTATTCTTAGCTTTGATATATTCTCTATTTCTTTTTAAAAAATTATTCCAATCCGTCATTTTTAAAAAAATAAAATTAACATATATCGATCATAACTCTTTCTCCCGCAGGTTTTCTAGTATTTACAAATACATATCCATGATCATCTGGGTTTCTCTATTGAGCTTTACAAACCTTTTTAAATGTATCTCTATCCATTCCATGATTTATAGACTGAATGATTTGAGATAAATCTTTATCATTTAATTCAAATAATAAAAAACAATTTGCATTTTTTCTAATGAACATAGAATCCATCCCGTAAAAAGATTGGGATTGGTATATGCAGTGACAGTTGTGATGTCTTCCTTTGGTGAAGAATTCTTGTAGAACAGTTTGATTTCTTGCGTACGCAGTCGTCAAC